CGCCCCAGGGCTGTCCGCGGAGCGGCTGCGGCCTCGGATCCTCGAAGGGCTCCGCCGGGGCGAGGGGCGACGATGTTTGCGTGGGCGAGAAGGATCTACGTCCTCCGAAGGAAAGAGCGAGCTGGTGCATAGACTCGACTCGTACTTGTTGAGCAGGCGTCCCTCCGGCTCCTTTGAGCCGTTGTGTACAGAGCCTGAGGGCCGTTTACCATAATGAGGTCTTACGGAAGCATAAATGCATTACATCAGCTGGTTTCCTTTATCCCTTCATCAGAGACACATTTTTCCTTGCAGAAACTAATTTACTTACTCACGTTTCGAGTTTTATTTTAGGTCACCTATTTCTCTTGAATCTCTACGTGTTGTGAAGCATGGCAGTTGTCTCCACTGAACAGGGATTTCTTCATTTTGAGACTGTCTTGAACAACCTTCACAGTTCAAGTGTAAAGGAAAATCCTCCAACAAAGATAAAAATGTGAGCCATTCTGACAAAACATTTCATTTCTTGTTTGTCAATATGCTAATTCTTACATTCAACTATGCTAACTCAAAGATTTTTTTTTTATATTAGGGTTTGTAACAAGTTTCTCAGTCTACTGCCATCCCCCTTCTATTTGTGCTTTTCCATTCCTATTGCCCTTTCAGAACAAAATCTTTCCCCGCCAGCGCTGTTACAGCTGAGAAGAGTTGTTAGGCAAACACGTACGTAGAAAGTACAATTACAATGAACGTACTTCAGGTAAGGCTGCTGAAGTTGATGGAGCCGTTTATGAAAAGCTCAGCTAAGAGAACTGCTGAGAACAGAAAAGAGAAGATAAACTCTTATCTTCCCAAAACTGTATTTAAAATTTATGATTAAAAGCCGACGGTTTCATTAGGGAGAGGAGGAAATAGGTTCATAAGGGTGAAGTCTGAGTAATGTAACTGCCTTAGTTCTTAAACTACTCATTACACTCACCGCAATCATATATTTATAATACAGATATTTAACAAACCGCAATAAAAAGCACTGAAAACCTTTAGGAAAGCTGAACTCGCTCGTGAGAAGGGGAACTCCTCGTAACACCGGG